TTTAGAATAGAACAGAATAGAAAATCCCTTTATTGTCCCATAATGGTGAAATTCTGGTGTTTATAGCAGCAAAAAGATGATAGAAAAAATTGTCACACAAATATGGAACTTAAAAAATGTATATGAATAACATAATAGTGAAGAGTTAAAAGATAAACAAAATACTGCACTGTAAAGTGTTATAAAAGTATAAAAACTGTGCACCTGGAGAATAAATAACCAATATTGATCAATACAGCTATGTAATGTACATTTTTCAGTAATGGATATTTGAAAATAGTAGCAACATCAGAGATGTGCAAAATGACAGCAGCATGTTATTTAACTGACTAAGGTAGAATCTGTTCAAAACTGTACTTTACTTTGTCACCTGTCAATAAGATGCACATTCAGTTCAGGGTCATTTTTCGGGTTAGGGCACAGAAAGGGTCAAAAATGGAAAGTCAATGGGAGTCAACAAATGGTCCTCACTACATATAGCAAGACAAACATGTTTGTATATGTCTGATATTTGTGGTTAACCTTCACATTACATAGACTTCTATCTTATTTGTCTACCATAATGATGCCTTTAATTCTCCTTATGAGCTTTAACAGTTATGTAGACTGGTTCTAAATCAGATGCATGCATCAAAGGTACTAGTCCATCTCCATTTAAAGGGTCCCTTATATTGTTAGCATGCAGAGTTTGATTGCATGATCTTCTAAATATTACATCCTAGCAATCTGTTATAGAGGATAATACCACACACATTGATGTTTCAGTGACCGTTGTTTTTCAATGTGTTGTTTACCTCTGTTATAAATACAGCTGTTCTGTAAAGGCTTCAGAGATATGTTGAAGACACTTGATTAACAAACATCACAAAGATCCCGGAATACAACAGGCAAGGCAGGGATAAAGTTTGTTAGGTAGGGTTAAGCTTAAAAATAAAATAAAAACAAATACATGCCACACTTTTTAGTATTTGATTTGACTCTAAAATATATGTTTTGTATAATTACTGATCGCTGAATCTGAAATAAGCAAGCTTGTTTAATGTCAAATCTAATTTCTCTTACAACCTTTGTCCAAGTATGTGATTTTTTATGGGTTGATGATGTGATTTGGATAATTGCAAATCTGACCTTATCACCAACTTTCGAAACATTGATATTTATATATCCTGTAGAAATAGACAGTGAATCAATCTTAATTGCTGTTCTTAGAGGATGTGTATAAAAAGTCCAACATGATCTTTAAAGCTTAGTAAGCAGTGTTCCCTTTGCAGAAGAAAGCTGTTGTGCATGCCATAAGCATTCTG